TATTTTACATATAACTTGTAAACTAGGGTACCTAGGTCACACAGTGGATAGATCACAGGCCCTGAAGTCAAAAGGAGATGAATTCAAATCCAACCTCAGACAATTAGTAGCTGTGTGACCCTAGACAAGTCACTTAACCCCATTGCCTCAGAAAGAAAGAAAAAGAAAGAAAAGAAGAAAGGAAGGAAGGAAGGAGAAAAAATAACATAAACTCCCTTAATACTAGCATCATCCCCCTGTGATTATCTCTCACTTATCCTGTCTGTTGTTTCTTTGTACATTGTCTCCCCCATTAATTAGACCATGAGCTCCTTAAAAGCAGGTTATCCCACAGGGTTTAGCACAGTGCCTGGCACATAGTAGGCACTTAATGCCTTGTTGATTTGACTTGTGTGCTGCAAATTTAAATGCCAAAATGTATGCATATCCAACTCAACTAATCTAGTCTGAGAAATGGCGGCTCTACCTAAATACCTTCTGTCTTCACTAGACACAGCACAAGGACAGTGAAATGCTGAAGAGAACCCAGCACACCTAGGTGGGGGATGGGGCCAGCCTTTTAAACTTGAAGGACAAATAACCAGACTGACTTTATCAAATAGATGCTAAAGACATGGAATTAGTTATCCCAAATTCGACAAAATTAAACAACTTCTGACTGCAGAGCACTGTCTTGGGTAGTGAGGCAGATGTGGTGGAGGAAGACGGGATTACTGCCCTCAAAGTGATAGACCAGCCAGTGAGGTTGTCTATGCTCCAATGGCTACGAGCTCACCCCGAGAGCCAGCCCCCTCCAACTACAAAGGTCATGGTCTATAAAATCTGTCAGTCTCCTGCAACCCTCACCCTGACCTCCAGTAGTCACTATAGGAAGGTCTCTCCAAGACCTTCCTCCACTTTTCTTAACATGGAGAGGATAACCAATAGAGTCCTTAGCTCTCCACGAATTATCTCTTACTCTTGCCAGGTGACCAGCTCATCTTTTTTATTCATACATTTCTTCGATTAAATCCCTCATCCTTCTTCTTTGTAGACCTTTGTTCATACCATTGCATTCTACTCACAAATGTCATGTGCCTATTATCCGTCCTTCAAAGCTCAAGTAAAATGCCACCCCTCCTTACAGTATTCCTTGATCTCTTTTGTTGGCAAATCACCATCTCCTCAGACCTCACATGGTACTTCTCTGTATATACTATTATATATGTGTGTATGTATTATCTTGTTATAATAGTAATGTAGGCACATATTTATCTTCCAGGCAATACATGAAAAAGATAGAAATGTGCTGATAGTCAAGATTACATAAGGGCAATAGTAAGTGTTTTGTGAATGTGAGGGCTCACCACCCCTCATAATCTGGAGTTCCAATGCAATGATAGGTCTGAACCAATAGATAAAAATTTTAAGTTAAAAGTAATTCAGGCTGAAAATATGAATCAGTTCAGTAAGTGTCAAGCTAAATTCATGGATGATACATCCTTAATGGATTAAGGTACATTAGGGGCCTAGTGTTAAGACAGAGGACAGTGAATTCGAATTAGTTCTCTGAGGCAAGCTGAGGTCCATATCCACATCCACTGCACCCCATTGTGGACCAATCGCTCCTATAGGGCTGTAGAAGGAACCTCAGCCCCCAGAGAGCAGGTTAGAGGTGTTCTTTTGTTTGAGGAACAAATATTGGGAAGCTTAGGTGGAGACAAAAATAGAGGAAGGTCTCTGAGAGGCCCTCCTATAGTGACTACTGGAGGGTAAGGTCAGGGTTGCAGGAGACTGACAGATTTTATCTAAAGAGAAGCTTCCAAACTATTGGTACTAAACAACAATGGAATGGGCTGCCTTGGCCATGAGCTTCACTTTCCTGGAGATCTTCACCTGGAGGTTGGTGGTGGGGGTGGGGGAAGGGGTGTTTAAGAGAAACTTTGCAGTTCTGGTGTTGGTTAGACCAGACAGCCACAGTGATCCCCTCCAACTCTGGGGGTCAATGATTCTATGGAACTGGACTAGAGGAAGGCTGTATCTAGTCTGTCCTGTTTTCAGTCCATTTATCACACTGCTGTCCAGAATAATCTCCCTAACACACTGATGTGATCCTGTCAGACCAAGGGCCCATCTCACCATCTCTGCTCCCTTTCTGACAAGTGGAGGTTGGTCGGGTCAGCTCACCTTCCATAAGCTAAGACACATCCTTTCCTCAGATTACCCCAAGGTAAAATAGCTAAAACAGTCATAGCCAAGAGAATGGCATCTGGAAAGGAGCTTTAGAAATCTTCTAGTCTGGTCCCCTTATTTGAAAGTGAAAATACTGGGGCCCAGAGGGGGGGGGTGACTGGTGGGGTCACTCAGCCCCCATCTCTTGACTTTTGGTTCCCTCCTATGTACCATACTGCTTCTATGTCCAGCTTGAGGCTTACCTACCCAGTTATCAATAAAATACCTTAGCATGTTAAAGGGAAGGAAACCAGCCCCTCTGAAAGAGCACTGAAAGTTAGGGGACTTGGGGAGAAATCCCAGCTCTGCCTCTTACTTCCAACGTGACTTTGGCGAATTCCCTTCCCCTTTCTGGGCCTCATTTTCCTCACTTGTAAAATTAAAGGTCGGATTTGAGGGGGTATAAAGTCCTTTACAATTCCATAGACCATTATGGAGTGATTTTTTTTCATTCATTGAATGCCACTCCCATTTTCCCACTTTCCCCCCCAATGTCACTTCCCCTTGTTCAAAGCAGGCAGACCCTGCTGTGGACCAACATGTTGGAAAGGTTGAGCTGGGGGCTGAGAACACTCTGCTTCCCTCCTCTGATAAAAATCTACACCTGTCATAAACAACCTGTTGTATTAGTTTGCCTGGTCACTGGCTTAGGAGTATGTAAGATTTTGTGCTATGGGCTTGAACAAACTGATTGTTTCATGGGGACTTGAGAAATAAAAATCCTTTGAATGTTTTTTTTCATTTTGTTTAAGGGAGGTCTCTATGCTGGGAGGAGCTCAATCTGCTGGTACAAATGGAACCCTGGGGTCTGCAGTGATCTAATTCGGTGGTTGCTTTAGTTAAGGTACAAAAATATACATTAAGTGTGGCTCATCTTTGCCTTGACCCACTCAATAACCCCAGGTAACAGTACTGTCATTCTGTAGCCTGAGGACCCGGGTTGGGAGAGCACCTATATGTCCCTTGGAAAAACCCCCTCCTCTCCAGACAGCCACTCAGAGAAGGGTCTGTGCCTGAGTCCCAGATCGTCTATATCTACCTGAGCCTACCATGCCCTTTACCTAAGTTCATTCTCAACCTACCACAGCTCTTACCTAACCTCTACCCCCACCCCCAAGGAAGGAAAAATAAAGCCCTTTCTTGATGACAGTTGAGAAAAAAAGCTTGGGAAAGGGGGAAGGGGAGCCACTGTTCTGAGCCAGGATGATATTTCTTAAATTCATTCACCATCAGGCTAACAGGGCTCATCTATCAATCATTCCCTAATTGTTAGTTCGATTTACTATTTTCTTACCATAGGAAACATTTTCCCGCAGTGGAATGTAAGGCATCCTTTGCATTTGCAACCCCAGCACCTAGCACAACACCAAGTCCAAAGTGTTTTAACAAATGATTCTTGATCTACTGAATGAAAGCTCCTAGAACAGAGAGATTGGTTTCATTGTCTACATCTTCTCCTGGTATTCAGCACAGCGTCTGGCATACAGTAGATAAATACTAGTTGAATTTAAACTCTTGAATTTGGAACTCCGACCCCAAAGTTACTAAACTGTGCCTACTCTTCAGGATAAAAACCTACAAAAGGATTTATTGCAGCTCTTTTCATAGTGCATCAAAACTGGAAGCTAAGGAGGTGTCCTCCTGCTGGGGAATAGCTAACAAACTGTAATATGTGAATGTAATGTAATATTAATGTGCCATAAGAAATGACAAAAATGGGCAGTTTCCGAGGAAACAGAAGTCCTCCATGACCTGCTGCAGAGGGAAGTGAGTACAACCAGAATAATGTATACAACACTATAGAGAAAACCAGTTTCGACTTTAAAACTGTAATTAATACAATAGATAAAGCCTGAGTCCAGAGTATTGAAGATGAATCCCATGTATTTTTTTTATATATATATAACCAATGGAGGACTTTGTTTTTCTGGTGTAAGGGCTTTTTTTTAGGGGGTTGACATTAATTGGGGGTGGGGAGAGACCATGGGAGAGAAAATTAGAAAATGCCTTTCTTCACAAGATCCAGAGCAGAGCTTCAAACTGCAGTTTCAGCAAGACCTGTGACAAACTGAGTATGAGTTTGTCATTTTTTCCCATTGCATCTAATTTTTTAATGATATTTTGACCCCACTGACCCTACATGCAGCTAGCTGGTGCCATAGTGCATAGACCACCAGGCCTGGAATCAGGAAACCTCATCTCCCTGAGTTCAAATATAACGTCAAACACTTCCTAGCTGTGTGACCCTGGGCAAGTCACTTCATCCTGTTTGCCTCCGTTTCCTCATCTGAAAAATGAGATAGAGAAGGAAATGGCAAACCACGCCAGTATCTGCCAAAAAAGCCCTCAATGGGGTCACAAAGAGTTGGACGGACTGAAAATGACTGAATGGTTCTGAGAAGCCTTGAGATAAGAACTTTGGGCGGTCCTCTGGAGAAATTGGGGGGGAGGTCCATAATTCCTACATCCTCCACAAAAGGTATGCCATCCCCCAGGCCTCCAAACACCCATGGTATCCACATTCTGTAACCCCTAATTTCCCCATGACCACCATAGTCTCAATGACCCCTATACCCCTAGTGCCCACCAAAGTCCTCATGATCCCTAGTGTCCCCCAAAGTCTTCATGACCCCCACACCCCAAGTGTCCCCCGAAGTCCTCATGATCCCGACACTCTCTAAGGTCCCCCAAAGTCATCATGACCCCCACATCCCTAGTGCCCCCCAGAAATCCCCATGATCCCTACACCCCTAGTGTCCCCCAAGTCTTCATGACCCCTACACTCCTAGTGCCCCCCATACCCTATAATGCCCCCTAAAGTCCTCATGACCTCCACGGCCACCAGGTTCCCCTGACGTCTAAGGTGCCCCGACTCTCCTACGCCCCCAGAAGGCCCCTCCCGCGCCTCCACGCGCCAGAGTAACAGACCCCGCCCCCGCCACCACCCGACAGTTAACTGAAACCAACAGCACCGGCCAAACTCGCCCCGCCCCGAACTGCCTCTTCTTCCAATCACAGACACCCAGGGGCGGACCAAAGGGACGCGACAGCCAATCGCCAACCCGTCCGCTTCCAGAAGCTCGGAAACTCGTCCGGGATTTCCATTGGTCGGTTTCAAAACAACGGTAGCCAATGAAGGAGGATAAAAGGGGGTGGGCGTTGGGGAGAGTTGGGAGTCCGTTACGCCGCTGGACCGAGGCTGCTCCAGGAGTCATGGTGGGGTCGGCAGCCCAAGCCGCGGCCGTAGGTGAGTGGCAGCCCACTGGTCAGGCGAGCCGACCCGGGCAGGGAGGAGGGGGAGGCGTGCCCCACCCCGCTCAGCCCCGGGACCGAGAAGGGCCACCCCGACCTCATTTACAGGTAGGGAAACTGAGGTTCAGAGAGGTCAAGCGTGGGGCTTGCCAAGCGGGGAATGTCAGAAGCAGGTTTCGAACCCACGTCCTCTGACCCCCAAATCCTGCTCTCTTCCCTCTCTGCCCCACCGGGGGCCTGGTAGATGTGCTTGTGTCCCCCCACCCACTCCCAACACTTGAACCCAAAATCCGCAGTACCACCCCCTCCCCGCCAAGGCCACTTACTGAAAATGCGGGAAATCGAGTCAGGACGTGATGGAGTCGGCTGCCCCGCCCCCAGGGCTGACCTCACCCTAGCTCTGTCCCCCTGGCCGGTGCCCGTCAGGGTCCCGGGGGGCCCCAGGCCAGGGAGCAGTCAGTGACCCCCATCAGCACAGCTGGAGGGGAAGAAGCGGGGATTCCAAACTCACCTGCCCAGGGGAAGATGGGTGGGGCCCAGGTGTGGGCGTTAAAGCCCGGAGGGCCCTGAACCTGTCATCTGTGATGGCAACAGAAATGGTAATTACCGGCCTTGATTATCATGTCATTGCGTCATCATTGTCACATATTAATTATATTATTAATGCATTTCTATTGCTGCTGCCGTCATGTTACTGCGATACATTGTAACACAATCATGGATCAGGCTGTAATAATTGTAATACTGTTACCGGTAGCTAACATTTACATAGCGCTTTAAGGTACGCCAAGCATTTTACACATTCTATGATCCTCGCAACAATAACAATAATAGTATACACATAGCACTTACTATGTGATGGCACTGTGCTAAGCGGTATTATCTCATCTGACCCTCCCAACAACCCTGCTGTTATGATCTCCATTTTACAGATGAGGAAACTGAGATAAATGGAGGTTATTTGACATGCTCAGGGTGATTCAGCCACTCTGTCTGTGGCAGGATTCTAATTCGGGTCATCCTGGATCCCAGGTCGTGCATTCCATGTGCCACTCCACCTACCCTACCCCTTCATTGTACAGTTGAGGAAACTGAGGTAGAAAGGTTTTGACTTGCCCGTGGTCCCACAGATGATAAATAACAGGGTCAGGATTTGAACTTGGGTCCTCTCAGTACAAATCCTCACTCTTTTTACTGTATATAAAGGACATGATGTTTGAGCCCAGAAATATGACAGCTGTGTGAATTGAAAAAGACTGTGAGAAAATAAAAATTATCTTTTTTTTCTCTTCTTTTCTTTCTTTTTTTTTTCTTGTCTTGCAGAAGAGCGGCGAAAAAAGCTCCAGGAGTATTTAGCAGCCAAAGGAAAGTTAAAATGCCCAAACATCAAGTGAGTGTGTGTGTGTGTGTGTGTGTGTGTGTGTGTGTGTGTGTGTGTGTG